CCGTCGACAAGACAATGTTTTCTTGCTAACCATTTGGCCAACAAGCATGCCAGCTAGTGGCAACGGCGTAAAAATGGACACAACAATAGGCATCACGGCTCCCATGTCTCCTTCGGGTTGCGGCATTGAATAGATGAGCACAAGGATAGCTATTCCGGAATTGTGGATTCCAGTCTCAATGCAAATAGTAAGGATCTCTGCCTTGGATCTGCGGCAAATGAAGGCAAGAAATCCAGCAAGGAAGAAGCCAATCCAGGGTAACGCCGTCGCAGTTGGAATGATGACCGGGTAGATCCCAATAAGACGATAAATAGGGAGATTAGTGTACACCCCAAACCCGATTATTATAGTAATGAAGAGGAAAGAAAGCGGCCGCAATAGACGAACAAGAAGTTGACCCAACTTTGGCAGGCGCCATTTGACCACCATACCGAGCAGCACGGGCACGGTGATGTAGCAGAGTTGGCCGACAATCAAGAGGTAGGGAATGCGGAGGCTTTGAATGTCAATGAAGAAGCGGCCGAAAATGAAAAGCATCAAAGGCATCATGCCTAAAACGGAAGAAATGATACTGATTGCATGTTGTAAAAGTTAAAATATTTTTTACTTAAATTAAAATAGTAACATCAATTAGTATAGGTGATGTAAACATGGGTTTAGAGCGTGAAGCTTATGCGTGTTGTGGTTGGTCTCCAGCCACTTTGGTTTTTAAAATTAGACTATTGCATAGATGGTAGCAAGATGTGTGATGAGATTTTTGAGATTAACGTGTTAAAAGATGGAAATGAATAGGTGATTTGACAAAAGGATGGATTCGAGATGGAAGAATGGTTGGATGAGTGGGTAGATGTCTAATACGTCGTAACCACACGCTCACTCACTCACCCAATGCGGCGATCGAGCTGATGAAGGTCATCGTCATGCTCAGATTGAGATCACCATGCAGTAGCAGTGTCCAGATATTCGATCCGCCTCCACCTGGACAACAACCGGTGGTGAGGAGACCAAAGCCAAACTCCGGTTTGATGGGCACCACCATGGCCACACCGAAGGCTATCTACATCCATCACCACCACCGACGCCGACATCACCGTTGTTCCATGCAGGAAATCATGAAAGGAAATCTTTTTTTTAGTGCTATTAATGCTGTTGACACAATCGAGGGGTGTTTTAAGGTGTTAATATTTAGTCACATTCATGTGTTACAAAATTTGCGCTGGATCAAACGGAAAATTCAGCAGTTTCTCTGCTTTTTTCTTGCTATAAGGTGAATGCAACTTCCTATCTCGGCATCAATGTCACCAACG